CAGTCGAGAAGTCGTCGTGCTAACACCCCAAAAGACCAGCACACCAGAGGAGCAACCATCACTGATAAAGAGAGTTGTAGATCAGAAAGATCAAACTTGGAAACCACACAGACGAAGACGAACAAAAAATGGATCCAAATAGACCCACCGAAGACCAGCACCGACCGAATCCCATGAGATCCGATGGAGACACACCTCCACACATTTTTCGACAACACTATTCGCACCATCGGGGTGGGGATAGGACCTGGAAGACATTATTGCTACTGAGGGACATCGCTGCCGCCACACAGCCCCAACCAAAACGTTCAACCTAACAAAAATGAGAAGGGGGTCCCTTCTACTGACGGGGGACCGAGATCATCTACACCTCCACAGGCCAAAGGCCATTGAAGACGGGACGGATACACGGCAGCGCCGATGGGAAAAGGAAGGAGACTTTTTTTGGGAAGGAGAAAAGTAGTCAGGGGTTTGCAGATGTACCCACATGGGATTAACAAGGACTATACCGGCAATGCCTCGTGCTTCCTTTGCTACGCACCGTGTAACTTACTACTTTTTTTTGTCACGCTCGTCAGGAAAAAACAAATAAGCTGCTTATGTCACAACTTAGATGTGAGATATTATGTTATATAGTCAAACCCTTCGAAGTTCTAAGCATGGGTTTATGGACGGAGTACACAAACCAATTTGCTTCGACAAAACCTCCACGTAACCCCTACCAATTTAGCTACTTTTCAGTCAGCTAAAATTTCACTTTTGGGTCAGTCAAATTTGTGACCATTGGATTTTTTTGTAAGATCCGCGCTGCGTTTTTTTTTTCTGACCTATGTTGTCTGTTGTGTGGGCTTCTCTTGTTTTTTGACTGACCCCTTATTTGGGTTAATCGATTTCATTTCTGGGCCGGAGCCCATTAACTCTGCAATCCAGCTCTCCTCTCTCTCCCTTGATTTTTTTAATACTTTTACGTTTTTATGTGCTTTTGCTTTTGTTTTTCTGATTCTCTTTGTTAGTTGGTTTTATTTCTATTTTGTGGATATTTTTTGATTTATTTATGTTTTCTGTTTCTATGGGTTTTTCTTTTCCCCATTTTCTTTCCTGGTTATTTTTGTTTTTTGTGGGTTTTTGGCTAAGTGTAATTATATAAAAAAATACTATATAATATGTGTCAAAATTTTATGATTATATGTACACTAAAAATGCACAACTTCTGTGCTAATAGTTTGCAGAATAATACATTATTTGTTTTATTAATTTCAGTTCCTTTCTTCTTTAATGGGAAAGCAATGACACTAATTCATTGTTTCTTAGAAAACTTCATTATTTTAATTTTGTTCAAGTTTTTATTTCATTTTCTTTATTCTTCAAGGGTAATATCAATACCTCTAATTCATTCCTACTTAGGATTTTTTTTGTGAAATTTCATTGTTTGTGCTTATTTTTGCATATTATAAAAAAGCGCAATTTCTATTCAAACCGTGTGCAAATGTTATCATTATTGTTTTTCTTTACTTTTTTTTCTTCTTAAAAGGTTAATACGGATACCACTAGTTCATTATTTTGATCCGGAGAAGTAGAGAAACCATGGATCAAATACCAATGCCACTAATTCATTATTTCTTTAGATAATTTTGTTTTGCGACAAATTTCACTATTATGTGTTTATTCTTGCATATTATAGCAAATAGCAATTTATGTGCAGATTTTGTCATTCTTTTATAGAGTTGTTTATATGATTTTCTTTCTATTTAAGGGTATTTTTGCTTCACTTTTTTATTTCTGTTTTCTGTTTCTATGGGTTTTTATTTTTCCCATTTCCTTTCCTTTATTGGTTATTATTGTTTTTTTTGGGTTTTTGACCGAGTCTAATTTTATACAAACAAATACTATATAATATGTGCCAAAATTTCATGATTATATGATTATTTTTGCATAATACGGTAAAGTGTAATTTCGGTGCAAAGTTATGCGCAAGTTTTTTTTTGTGTTTCTTCTTAAAGGAAATACATTATTTCAGGTACACTATAGAAATTATAGTAGGATTTCTTGCAGATTTCTCCCACTCACTTCCCACCCTTTCCTCGCCAATTTCTCATGCCCTTTTTCACATGCCATATCGCACGTGGGCGTATGATTATTGTAAAGAAGCACAATTTTTATGTATATTTCGTGCAAATTTTGACATTGTTTGTTTCAGATCATTTTTCCATTTTTTTTGTTCTTAAATGGTAATACCAATGCCGACCATTCATTCTTCCTTACGAAATTTAATTCTTTCTTTTATGGGTATTTTTGCTTCATTTTTTAATTTTTGCTTTCTGTTTCTATGCATTTCTCTTTTCCCTTTTTTCTTTCCTTTATTTGTTATTTTTTGTTTTTTGTGGGTTTTTCGCTGAGTGTAATTATATACAAACAAATACTATATAATATGTGTCAAAATTTCATGATTATATGATTATTTTTACATATTACGATAATGTGCAATTTCGGTGCAAAGTTGTGTGTAAGTTTTTTTTAAGTCTTCTTCTTAAAGGGAGTACATTATTTTAGTTACACTATGCGTAAATTATAGGAGAATGCGAAAAATGCATTATTATATGCTTATTCTCTGCATATTTCAAAAGGTGCAATTTCGGTACAAATTGTGTGCAAGATTTGAAAGTTTTTTCTTTTGCATTTTATTTCTTCTTAAAGAGTTTCATTCTTTCTTAGAAAACTTCATTACTTTGATTTTGTTTTAGGTTTTTTTTTCTGAAATGGTAATACCAATGCCACGAATTCATTCTTTCATAGAAAACTTCATTTTCTTATTGTTTTATTTGTATTTCATTTTTTATTTTGCTTTAGTTTTCACTAATATATATATTTATTTATTCTTGCATATTATAAAAATGCAATTTCTGTGTAAGTTATCTGCAATTTTTTTCATCATTTCTTTAATTTATTTTCCATGTTCCTTCTTTCTGAATGGTAATACCAATGCCAATGATTTGTGCGAATTTAATTCCTTTCTCTTTAAAAATCTCCTTTAGTTTTGTATTAGTTTTAGTATTAATTATGCTCCATCCGCACAACCAAAAAGCTAATGATGAGTGTGTGTGGTGCTTGTGTGTGTATGCATGTGGGTGTGTCTGTATGTTTATGTGCGCATGGCGCCTATATGTATGTGCTCTTGCGTCACAACCTAACATAGTTTCAGCCGCTAAAGTCCACAGTATTCATGCATGCTTTGAGATGAATATATGAGGCTACAAGGTGGTTAAGAAAAAAAGTGACCAGTCAATTTTGTGACCGTCCGATTCTGCTTGGAGATTTGTGTTGTTTTATTTTTTTCTATATCATTTTGATGGTGAGTTGGGCTATGTGGAATCGATTGACCCCTATTTGTAGAAATTTAATTCTGTCTTTTGTAGGTATTTTTGCTTCATTTTTTATTTCTATTTATGTTTCTATGTGTTTATTCTTTTTTCTTTCATTTATTGTTTTTTGTGGTTTTTTGGCTGAATGTAATTATATACAAACAAATACTATATAACATTTTCCAAAATTTCATGATTATATGATTATTCTTGCATATTACGATAAAGTGCAATTTCGGTGCAAAGTTGTGCACACGTTTTTCTTTATTTTCTGACTTCTTAAAGGAAATACATTATTTCAGTTACACTATGTGTAAACTATAGTAGAATGAGAAACATGCACTATTATATGCTTATTCTTTGCATATTTCAAAAAGTGCAATGTAAGTGCAAATTGTTGTGTAAGTTTCGAAAGTTTTTTTTCTTTTTCTTTTTCTTTTTTCTTAAAGGGTTTCATTCTTTCTTAGAAAACTTCATTATTTTGATTTTGTTTATGGGTAATATCAATTTATTCCTTCATAGGAAAATAAATTTTCACAAAAATTTACTATTATATGCTTTTCATGTTACAAAAGGGGCATTTTTGTGCAAATTGTATGCAATTTTTTCATCATCTTCTTCTTAAATGGTAATACCAATGCCACTAATCATTTCTTCTTGAAAAAAAATTATTGCGAAAATTCACTTATTATATGCTTATTCTTGCATATTATTAAAAAACATAATTTTAGCGTAAACTTTGTGCAATTTTTTTGATCATTTATTTTTATTTTGTTTATTCTTAAAGGGTACTAGCTATAGCACTAATTCATTCTTCCTTAGGAAACAAAATTATTATTATTTTAAATATCTTTTGTATTTTTTTAGGGTAATACCAATGCGACTAATTCATTTTTCGTATACAACTTATCTTTTGCAAAAATTTCACTATTATATTCTTATTGTTGCATATTAAGAAAAGCCGCAATTTATGTGTAAATTATGCACAAATTTTGTCATTAAATTTTATTTTTTGTTCTTTCTTCTTAAAGGGCAGTCCCAATGTTCGTAATTCATTATATCTTAGAAAGTTTATTTTTATTTTAGGCTCGATTGAATAGGGACGTGCATGATTGTCGCTTGAATATTACACAGGAGAATTAGATTATGTTACGTACGTATAGTTGCCACCATGAGAATAAGATTAGTTAGTTTCCGTTAAAAAATGTTCTGATACGTGCATCCGGACGCAGCAAGGAAGAAATACATGCATGCGTGAAGTGAAATGAGCAGTTGGATGATGAAGTGAGCAGGTAGTACTGGAACGGTCGAGTAGAGCAGATCGACTGAAAACGTTATTGGTCAGTCGACTGACCGGAAAACAAAAACCAGTCAACTGACACCTAGCCTGTCCCAACCCCTACACCGGCCGAAAGAACACCCTTGTTAGTAGGGGTCAGTCAGTTGGGTGTTGAAGCGTTCCTGCGGCTAAGCGATCCGCTCTTCTCTGCTGCTGTCGCCGTGGCCTCGCCGCAGTCAGACCCAGCCAAATATAGAGCCCTCTCTCCGTGATCCGCGAATGAAGCTCTATTTACACACCATCTGGCCGGCCGCCGGCGAGACCACGACTGAAGAAGACGACGAAGAAGATGGCGGGCCGGGCGCTGCTCATCCTCGCCGCCGTCCTCCTCCTCTGCGCCGCCGAGTGCCGCCTCGTCCACGCATGGAAGAGGGTATGTAAGCAAATCTGCAAACGACGAACGCCGTCGTTGCATGTTTCTTTCGCCTTCATTTCATCCTCTTGGCCTGATCCATACACGCGCAGTCGTACGTGGTATACCTGGGAGCGCACCCTTATGGGCGCGAGGCGACGGCGGAGGACCACGCGCGCGCCACCGAGTCGCACCATGAGCTCCTCGCCTCGGTCGTCGGGAGCAAGCAGGCGGCCAAGGACGCCATCTTCTACTCCTACAACAAGAACATCAATGGCTTCGCCGCGTATCTCGAGGAGGAGGTGGCCACCCAGATGGCAAGTAAGGCAGCCATTCCCATTCCTTCATTACTCAAGAACATCAATGGCTTCGCCGCCTATCTCTTTTACTACAGTTTCCCCTTGATTGATTGACTGATTGATTGGTTGGGTGATGGATGGAGAGCAGAGCATCCGGGTGTGCTGACGGTGATGCCGAGCAAGATGATGAAGCTGCACACGACCAGGTCATGGGGCTTCATGGACATGGAGAGGGGCGGCCAGGTGCTCCCGGACTCCATCTGGAAGCACGGCAGGTTCGGCCAGGACGTCATCATCGCAAGCCTCGACAGCGGCGTGTGGCCGGAATCCAACAGCTTCAACGACGAGGGCATGGCCCCGGTGCCCAAGCGCTGGAAGGGCTCCTGCACCGACACCGCCAAGTACGGGGTGCCCTGCAACAAGAAGCTCATCGGCGCCAAGTACTTCAACAAGGACATGCTGCTGTCGCACCCGGCCGTGGTGGACCGCAACTGGACGCGCGACACCGAGGGCCACGGCACGCACACGCTCTCCACCGCCGCCGGCCGCTTCGTGCCGCGCGCCAGCCTCTTCGGCTACGCCAACGGCACCGCCAAGGGCGGCGCCCCGCGCGCCCGCGTCGCCGTCTACAAGGTCTGCTGGACCGGGGAGTGCGCCACCGCCGACGTCATCGCCGGCTTCGAGGCCGCCGTCCACGACGGCGCCGACGTCATCACCGTCTCCTTCGGCGTCGACGCGCCCCTCGCCGACGCCAGCTCCTACTTCCACGAGGCCGTCACCCTCGGCTCCCTCCACGCCACCATCCACGGCGTCGCCGTCGTCTGCTCCGGGGGCAACCAAGGGCCCTTCGAGGACACCGTCGTCAACTCCGCGCCATGGGTCACCACCGTCGCCGCCAGCACCGTCGACAGGGACTTTCCCGACCAGCTCACCCTCGGCAACAACGCCACCATGAGGGGGATAAGCCTTGAGGCATCCGACCTTCACTCCGACAAGCTCTTCCCGCTCATCAACGCAAGCAGCGCCGCGCTCCCCAACTGCACCGTCAACCTCGCCACAAACTGCGCCACGGGCTGCCTTGACCCGGCCAAGGTCAAGGGCAAGATCGTCGTGTGCGTCCGCGGCGGGGATGCCCCGCGGGTCATGATGGGGATGACCGTCCTCAACGCCGGCGGCGTCGGGATGATCCTTGCCAACGGCGAGATGGACGGCAACGACATCCAAGCCGACCCGCACGTGCTCCCGGCCACAATGATCACCTACACCGAGGCCGTCTCTCTCTACAACTACATGTCCTCCACCTCTGACCCGGCCGCCAACATCTCGCCTTCCAAGACGGAGCTCGGCGTCAAGAACTCGCCATCCATCGCCGCCTTCTCCGCTCACGGGCCAAGCGGCACGCTGCCCTACGTCCTCAAGCCGGACGTCGCCGCACCGGGGGTGGACATCCTCGCCGCCTTCACTGAGTACGTCAGCCCCACCGAGGTGGCCGCCGACAAGCGCCGCTCCGAGTACGCCATCATGTCCGGCACCTCCATGGCGTGCCCGCACGTCTCCGGTGTCATGGGCCTCCTCAAGGCGGCGCACCCCAACTGGAGCCCCGCTATGATGCGATCCGCGGTCATGACCACCGCGCGCACCCAGGACAACACCGGCGCGCCCATGCGCGAGATGGACGGCAAGGAGGCCACCCCTTTCGCCTACGGCTCCGGCAACGTGCACCCGAACCGCGCCGTTGACCCGGGCCTCGTCTACGACATCACCCCCAACGGCTACTTCACCTTCCTCTGCTCGCTCGGCTTCTCCACCAAGGACCTGAGCAGGCTCAGCTCCGGCAAGTTTACATGCCCGGCCAAGCCGCCGCCCATGGAGGACCTCAACTACCCATCCATTGCGGTGCCGGCGCTGCGCCGCAGGATGACGATCAAGCGGCGGCTCAAGAACGTGGGCCGACCCGGGACATACCGCGCATCGTGGCGCGCGCCTTTTGGGGTCAACATGACCGTTGACCCGACGGTGCTCGTATTCGAGAAGGCCGGCGAGGAGAAGGAGTTCAAGGTGAAGGTGGCGTCGGAAAAGGACAAACTCGGGAGGGGCTACGTCTTTGGGAAGCTCGTCTGGTCTGATGGGACCCACTATGTCAGGAGCCCCATCGTGGTAAATGCCCTCGATTGAGATTTTCTTTTTTGTGGTGTTGTGTAGCCCAAGGGAAGGAAGTGCCAAGAGTTTAGGAATTTTCTTTTTTAGTTTATTACTGAGAATGAGATGAGTTTAGGTTTTAGTAGCTCTCCTGGTTGCTAATAAACGCTGAATCTATTTTGGCTCTAGAGTGTAAATAAAGTGCAAAGTTTCCTTTCTTGTAAATTCCCCCTTGCTAGATATTGTGGTTGATGGAATTTTCTTTACGCGTTCTCCTCTAATTCGATTTCAACTGAAAATATTGTTCATAATCAAAACTTTAAATTGTCACTTCATTACAAACAATGCTCTATATTTACAGAAATACTAACTGGCGAACATTCCATGGGAGGGGAATATTTTGTATGTTGGTGCTTAAAATAGAGAATATATATGAAGGATATCAAGGCCAGAAGCCTACTGAACTAGCATGCTCTAAAAAGGTTAACAAACAAATTGTCATCAAACGCACTATTGAAATAGCATACCCTAAAAAGGTTAACAAACAAATTACCATCGAACACAAAGCGAAATGGAAAAAGAAGGGACCTATGTCTGCAGTATATGTTGGGATACAATACTCTTTGGACTATCTTTTCATGCCTCCCAAGTTTATGACGATGATCATTTGTTTTGAGAGCATTGACGGGGCTAGTGGTCATAACTGTTGGGATATGCGGTATGCAGGAAGGTGTCTTTGCAACATTGTGACTGAGAATCCAGATATGTTAGGTCATAGGTGAGACGATGATGATGCCACAGCTGCGACTGCAGGTGCTTAGGGGGTGATTTGTTGTACTTGGTAGGCTTTCCGATGTGACTTGTTTTTGCCGCAATCTTTGTTTATCGGTAGGTATGTTACGAGGTGTTTCACATGTTTTTCTCAAATGTAATCGGGCCTTGTAGGATTTTCCAACCAAGTTTTTCTTGTAACAGATCATTTCTCCCTTGGCTAGATTTTCTGAATTTTCTTTGGCGATAAATAACTCATCGATGGTTGTTCCATCAAAAAGGAAGTTATCCGAGTACACGTGTCTTGATGACCCTAAGCCTACCAAAACTGTTTTTCTTCCAACCCCGCCAATAATATAATCTCGCAGCCAAGCCCTCAACATTCTTGCAGCCAACACCCTAAAGTTTCGGTATGCTTATAAACAAGGCCAAAATTTCGACAAATCGTGTGAAATTTCACCGGAAATTTTGGCAGCATAACACTTACGTTGGAGGAGAGTTGGGGGAGAATCGCATGCCCAGCGGCATAAAAAATTGCTCCACGACCATGCATGCCTTCCATTCCGTAGTATTTCACATGGAAGAGAAACACGGCCAGCATTTTTTGGCAACAACTACTCCCTCCGTCCCATAATATAAGATATTTTTGTAAGCTATGTTAGCTTGTAAAAACGTCTTACCTTATGAGACATAGGGAGTAGTATATTTTATATTGTCTGCTGAAACCCTTGTGCCAGAACCTCGTACCACAACTGTTTTAATGACATTTTTGGCAAGCTCAGGGTCATTCCTTCAGGAAATAATGTCGGGTGATTGAACAAGACAATCTATGTGTCTTGCTCTGCTCTCATCCGGCCATTTGAATTAGAATATTTGGGCTATGCACATACATGCCGAGCAAGGACACTCAAATATTTGGACTTTAAATACGAGCAATCATTTGTTTAAAAAGATTCAGAGACAAACTACATCATGGAAATAACAAGTACATATATGACAATAGCTTTCGTTATTTTCTACTTATCATGCATGGCTCAACATTCGCTCGTTTCCGATATGTAAATAAAGCATGCAAAAACATCTCCTGTTCTAATACATCGGGACGGGTGGTAACATTTAGCATGCAAAAACATCACATTCTCATGGTACATCTCCTGTTCTAACAAAACTGGACAGTTTGTAGTAACATTTAGCATGCAAAAACTAGATCAAGCCTAAAACAAGTGTATTCTTCCTGAGAGTGAGGTTGCTGCTACCAGTTATTTGTTATGGTGTATATTCATACCCCTAAGAGTTGCATCTCATCTGTAACCATTCTCTACTGCACTTCCAAGTCAATACAAGATGGTGTTCTGCTTTTATACTACAGAATTAGCACATATTAGACCGGATTGTTGAACATCAAGAATTGAACTTTGGACACTAAATTGCATATGTTCTGCTTGTAGTAACATTTAGCATACAGAAACATCTCCTATTCTAATAAAGTTGGACAGTTGGCAACAACATTTAGCATGCAAAAACATCTCCTATTCTAATACAACTGGACATATGGTAATAACATTTAGCACGCAGAAAAAAGATCAGGCACAAATCAAGTGTATTCTTGATGAGAGTTAGGTTGCTGCTCTTGAAGTCCAGTTATTTGTTATGATGTATATGCATACCCTGACAGGTAAATCTAATCTGTAACCATTCTCTGCTGCACTTCCAAGTCAATACAACGTATTTTGCTTTTATACTACAGAACTAGCGCAGATTAGATCAGAATGCTGGACAACAAGAACTGAACTTTGGACACTAAATTGCAGGTGTGTTGTGACTCTGCAATCTTCTTATAAGGCAGCAATGTATTGGGGAGTGTACGTGTCATGGACTATTGGCTCGACAGGAAAATTCACTTCCTTGTAACAACTTTAAAAACAAACACATGATTCTTTCCGCTAACCTAAGCTTGCATTTGGCTTTTCTGGATCTTGTAAACAAACAAACAAACAAACAAACAAACAAACAAACAAACGTGAGTTGGCTCTAATCCTCGGCAAGAACATACCTCCATCTGTATCCCTCTGTATTCCCACAACTTGGTGCCCACATCTCTGCCTAGGTGTGTGTCCCGTAGAACCATCTGCATCACAAGGAAACTCCTTAGTTTGGGTTGTAGCATCCCAAGATTTTTCTTGAAAGAAGGTTGGATTGAGAAGCATTGTGGACGAGTTCTAGGCGGCGGCCACTTGCATGGGCGAGGCGGCGAAGGCTGGGCCGGGTGTGGCCAGAGGAGTAGATCGGACCATGCTCGAAATAAGGGACACCCGATGAAGGACGTCACCTTGCGCATCATCGGAGCAGGGGTCGGTGATGTGTGTGTTGTAGATATAAGCAGGCGGAGTGTTGGACTGAGGAGAAAGGAGAAGGAGCAAGGCCAGAGAGAGAGAGAGAGAGGAACTTGCATGATTTGAATGGAACTAACCCAGACTGACGTTGTTTTCAGCAGAATTACCATGGTGTTATTTATGTGCAGGAGCAAACGTTCTCGGAATGACCTGAAACTTCACGGAGACACTTTTCAAAAAATAAGAAAAATACCTGCCAAAGATGAAGGCCAGGGGGACACCACCATGCCACGAGGGTGGGGGACGCGCCTGCCCCCCTAGGGCGCGCCCCCTACCTCGTGGGCCCCCTGTTGCGTCTCCGACTCCAACTCCACCTCCATATATTGAGTTTCGGGGAGAAAAAAATCAGAGAGAAGAAATCATCGTGTTTTACGATGCGGAGCTGCCGCCGAGGCCTAAAACCTCTCAGGAGGGCTGATCTGGAGTCCGTTCGGGGCTTCGGAGAGGGGAATCCGTCGCTATCGTCATCATCAACCATCCTCCATTGCCAATTTCATGATGCTCACTGTCGTGCATGAGTAATTCCATCGTAGGCTTGCTGGACGGTGATGGGTTGGATGAGATCTGTCATGTCATCGAGTTAGTTGTGTTAGGGTTTGATCCCTAGTGTCCACTATGTTCTGAGATTGATGTTGCTATGACTTTGCTATGCTTAATGCTTGTCACTAGGGCCCGAGTGCCATGCTTTCAGATCTGAACCTATTATGTTTTCATCAATATATGAGTGTTCTTGATCCTATCTTGCAAGTCTATAGTCACCTATTATGTGTTATGATCCATTGACCCCGAAGTGACAATAATCGGGATACTTACCGGTGATGACCGTAGTTTGAGGAGTTCATGTATTCACTATGTGTTAATGCTTTGTTCCGGTTCTCTATTAAAAGGAGACCTTAATATCCCTTAGTTTCCGTAAGGACCCCGCTGCCACGGGAGGGTAGGACAAAAGATGTCATGCAAGTTCTTTTCCATAAGCACGTATGACTATGTTCGGAATACATGCCTACATTATATCAATGCACTGGAGCTAGTTCTGTGTCACCCTAGGTTATGACTGTTACATGAGGAACCGCATCCGGCATAATTCTCCATCACCGATCCATTGCCTACGAGCTTTCCACATATTGTTCTTCGCTTATTTACTTTCCCGTTGCTATTGCTACCATCACTACAAAATACCAAAAACATTGCTTTTACTTCTGTTACCTTTTGCTACCGTTATCACCACTATCATATTACTTTGCTACTAAACACTTTGCTGCAGATATTAAGTTTCCAGGTGTGGTTGAATTGAAAACCCATCTGCTAATACTTGAGAATATTCTTTGGCTCCCCTTGTGTCGAATCAGAAAATTTGGGTTGAATACTCTACCCTCGAAAACTGTTGCGATCCCCTATACTTGTGGGTTATCAGGATGCTTGATACCGCATCCGGCATAATTCTCCATCACTGATCCATTGCCTACGAGCTTTCCACATATTGTTCTTCGCTTATTTACTTTCCCGTTGCTATTGCTACCATCACTACAAAATACCAAAAACATTGCTTTTACTTCTGTTACCTTTTGCTACCGTTATCACCACTATCATATTACTTTGCTACTAAACACTTTGCTGCAGATATTAAGTTTCCAGGTGTGGTTGAATTGAAAACTCATCTGCTAATACTTGAGAATATTCTTTGGCTCCCCTTGTGTCGAATCAGAAAATTTGGGTTGAATACTCTACCCTCGAAAACTGTTGCGATCCCCTATACTTGTGGGTTATCAGGATGCTTGATACGTCTCCAACGTATCTATAATTTTTGATTGCTCCATGCTATATTATCTACTATTTTGGACCTTATTGAGCTTTATTATCCACTTTTATATT